TGCCACAGAAATAAACACTTCCACCATGAGTCATCTCGGCAACCAGCTTATGCCTACCTGAAGCTTGTGCATGAAGTACCCAGCTGTTCTCTTTTCAACACCAGTGGTCTTCATTGTGGAGCGGACGTATGCTGTTGGGGTTGGGATCATGAGTGAAGGCCGCTTCAGCTTGGACAACTTGGACACAACAAAGCCTGGCAGGATGCACTGGATGGTAATGCCCTTCCTGCTATACTCTGCTGCCAGGCTGTCACTGATGCTTTCAACAAAGGCCTGCAAAATAAGCATATAAATAAACAAACAGAATGATAATAAAGACCAATAACGAGTAATAACATAATATTCCTCCTCTGTGATACATAGATTAAGGGGACCATCCCTGGTGGTGAGGAGGGGTGAGGAGGGGAGTCTGGGTCGGAATGGTCAAAAATGAGTTATGGTCTGTTTCATATTCGTATATGTGTGTAGAATTACCGAACTGAATATGAACTCCCGAAACAGAAAATTTGAGCAGCACTTGACGCTGGAACCCCGAGTCTCATTACCACTGTGTCAGCGATTTTCACTTTTATACACTCACTTTACAGGAGCGAAAATGATGCATTGTATAATGACATTACCTATTGAAATGGATCACAGGAAGATTAAAGTGACTTATCATAACAGTTTTTCATTTATGACATGAAAAACGAAGAAAAATAATAAAAAATCCTTACACAGCTCTTTAAATTTCCCATAAAATAAAGTAGATATGATTTGATTTTGACATATTCATCATACAAGTATGTTTAGCAAGTATGTTTAGGGTTCAGTGATAATACATGAGCAGTTATAAGTCTGTAACAAATAGATATTTACAGGGGCTGGGCACTCCCCCGCATCAACGGCCGTCTCAAAGGGACCCATGCAGCAGAGTTTCCTGCTTCGCCACCATTTCAGACTTTTTTGATTGCAATAATTTTAAGCATGCACTTTCTTTGAAAACTAAATAATCAATTAAACATCATTAGGGCATTATAAATCCATTTTATGAGGAAAAAAAAATGTAAAGAAAATGATATAATCTATTTGTATAAACTCCTAAAATCGGCCTACAAATATCTGATACCTATTGTTACATCACAAGACAAAGCATCCATGAAAAATGAATATAAGGAATTTGTATTTCAAAATATTTTTGATATATCAACATATTCTGAACAGTTATTTCTAATAAATAAGAAACAATTCATTATCCCTCCATAACAAGTACTCCGCTCGTGACTAAACATTTATCGCTTGTTTCGAGGAAGAATCACATCGTTAGACGATGTGGAGAAGAGTAGACTGGACTATAAAGAAAATAAATACATAAAATAAATAATCATGGATCTATTGGGTATATGCCCATATATGCATAAACACATATCCACGAACATCTACCTTTACAATAATTTCCATGTGTATACACATGTAAATAATGTAAACACAAGAAAACATTAATAAAAGAGGTATAAGACATGAAACAACCAATTTTGTAGATGAGTCATGTTGTCCTGGGTCTGGATTTGCTCCTTTCCACGGGAGTCATTTGTTTCTTTGTTTCTCTAACTCGGAGACTAATGATCGTATCTTTACCTAACAAAGTGCGTTTGAAGGAGAAATAATAGTAGTTTCTACAGTAATGAAATGGTAAAGATCCATAAATAAAAAAATATGAGAAATGAACTTCAAATATCCAACATTTTGTTTGCTTGTTTTTCAATTTTTCTTTTTTTCAAGCTATGGTTGATTCCTTGTCCCAGAGTTTTTATCCAATTAAAATTTTGGGTATATCTTTGGAAACCTTGTGAAAATGCGCAGAAAACTATGATTCCCAGTTTTGAAATTTTGCTCTCTTTTTTTTTTTTACAATTTTTTGAAAAAAAAAAAAAAAAAAAAAAAAAAAATCCTTTTTTCTGAGGAAACTACATTGAATAAAAAATAAATAAAAAAATAAAAAAATAAAAGAATCGTATTTGTCTCAAGAATTCATTCATGTTCATTCATGTTTTTTTTCATGACATAATTCATAATCCTTTGGGACAAGGAATCAACCACACAGACACATATGAAAGAAAGTTTAAAAATCGTTTTTTGAGGGACCATCATCCCCACATGTGGGAACCATAATTATGCCCGCCGCATATAGGGACGTTCCCCTTAAACTACAAATTAATTCTATGCATTAACCACACCCAACCAATTTCAAACACAATTACTCACTATAAATTCATGACTATACCTTTGTGGCAGCATAAACAGCCAGCAGAGGGGCAGGAATAGTGGCAGAGAGTGATGCAACATTGATGATCAGACCTCGCTTTCTCTCTTCCATTCCAGGCAAGACAACACGGCTCATCATTGTCACAGACATGATGTTGCAGTTGATGAGTCGGTGACACATCCTGAAAGACAAAAACATTCATTTAGGGGGAGGAGGAAGGAAGGGAGGAAGGGAAAGGGAGAGAAATCATTTGTG